TGGCACACTTCGCCAAAGTCTTGGGACCCTTCTCTAAAGTGTTGGAACCCTTCGCCAAAGTTATGGGCCCTTCGCCAACGTGTTGGGACCTTCGCCGAAGTGATGGGACCCTTCGCTAAAGTGTTGGGACCCTTCGCTGAAGTGTTCGGACCCTTCGCCAAAGTCTTGGGACCCTTCGCCAAAGTGTGGTGACCCTTCGCCGAAGTGTTGGGACCCTTTTCCAAAGTGTTGGGACCCTTCGCTAAAGTGTTGGGATCCTTCGCTAAACTGTTGGGACCCTTCGCCAAAGTTATGGGACCCTTCGCTAAAGTGTTGGGACCCTTCGCTGAAGTGTTCGGACCCTTCGCCAAAGTCTTGGGACCCTTCGCCAAAGTGTTGTGAGCTTTCGCCGAAGTGTTGTGACCCTTCGCCGAAGTGTTGGGTACTCTTTTCCAAAGTGTTGGGACCCGTCGCTAAAGTGTTGGGACCTTCGCCAAAGTCTTGGAACCCTTCGCCAAAGTGTTGTGACCCTTCGCTAGAGTATTGAGACCCTTGTCTAGAATATTGGGACCCTTCGCTAAAGTGTTGGCACACTTCGCCAAAGTCTTGAGATCCTTCTCTAAAGTGTTGGGACCATTCGCTTAAGTGTTGGTACCCTTCGCCAAAGTCTTGGGTCCTTTCGCTAAAGTGTTACGACCCTTCGCTAAAGTGTTGGGACCCTTCGCTAGAATATTGGGACCCTTCGCTAAAGCATTGGCACACTTCGCCAAAGTCTTGGGACCCTTCTCTAAAGTGTTGGAACCCTTCGCCAAAGTGTTGGGACCCTTCGCCAAAGTGTTGGGACCCTTCGCCAAAGTGTTGGGACCCTTCGCCTAAGTCTTGGGACCTTTCGCTAAAGTGTTACGACCCTTCGCTAAAGTGTTGGTACCCTTCGCCAAAGTCCTGGGATCCTTCGCAAAAGTGTTGGGACCCTTCGCCGAAGTAATGAGACCCTTCGCTAGAGTATTGGAATCCTTCCCTTAAGTGTTGAGCCCTTCACCAAAGTTTTGGGAACACTTCGCTAAAGTGTTGAGACCATTCGCGAGAGTGTTGTGACCCTTCGCTTAAGTGTTGAGACCCTTCGCTAATGTGTTGGAACCCTTAGCTAGAGTTGTGGAACCCTTCGCCAAAGTCTTGCGACCTTTCGCCAAAGGGTTGGGACCCTTCGCCGAAGTGTTGTGACCCTTAGCTAGAAAGTTGGGAACCTTCGCCGAAGTATTGGACCCTTCGCCAACGCTTTGGGACCCTTCGCCGAAGTGATGGATCCTTCGCTAAAGTGTTCGGACCCTTCGCTAAAGTTTTGTGACCCTTCGCTAGAGTATTGAGACCCTTGGCTAGAATATTGGGACCCTTCGCTAAAGTGTTGGCACACTTCGCCAAAGTCTTGAGACCCTTCTCGAAAATGTTGGGACCATTCGCTTAAATGTTGGGACCCTTCGCCTAAGTCTTGGGATCTTTCGCTAAAGTGTTACGACCCTTAGCTAAAGTGTTGGTACCCTTCGCCAAAGTCCTGGGATCCTTCGCAAAAGTGTTGGGACCCTTCACCGAAGTGGTGAGACCCTTCGCTAGAGTGTTGGAACCCTTCCCCTAAGTATTGAGCCCTTCACCAAAGTTTTGGGACACTTCGCTAAAGTGTTGGGACCCTTCGCTAGAGTGTTGTGACCCTTTGCTTAAGTGTTGGGATCCTTCGCTAATGTGTTGGGACCCTTAGCTAGAGTGGTGGAACCCTTCGCCAAAGCGTTGGGACCTTCGCCAAAGTATTGGATCCCTTAGTTCAGGTGTTCGGACCCTTGGCGAAAGTGTCGGGACCCTTCGATAAAGTGTTGGGATCCTTCGCTAAAGTGTTGGGACCCTTCGCCACTGTGTTGGACCCTTCGCCGAAGCGATGGGACGCTTCGCTAAAGTGTTGGGACCCTTCGCTAAAGTGTTGGGATCCTTCGCTAAAGTGTTGAGATCCTTCGCTAAAGTGTTGGGTACTTCGCCGAAGTATTGGGCCCTTCGCCAACGCTTTGGGACCCTCCGCCGAAGTGATGGATCCTTTGCTAAAGTGTTGGGACCCTTCGCTAAAGTGTTGTTACCCTTCGCTAGAGTATTGAGACCCTTGGCTAGAATATTGGGACCCTTCGCTAAAGTGTTGGCACACTTCGCCAAAGTCTTGAGACCCTTCTCTAAAATGTTGGGACCATTCGCTTAAATGTTGGTACCCTTCGCCAAAGTCTTGGGACATTTCGCTAAAGTGTTGGGACCCTTCGCCAAAGTCTTGGGACCTTTCGCTAAAGTGTTACGACCCTTCGCTGAAGTGTTGGGACCCTTCGCTAGAATATTGCGACCCTTCGCTAAAGCATTGGCACACTTCGCAAAAGTCTTGGGACCCTTCTCTAAAGTGTTGGACCCTTCGCCAAAGTGTTGGGACCTTCGCCACTGTGTTGGGACCCTTCGCCGAAGTGATGGGACGCTTCGCTAAAGTGTTGGGACCCTTCGCTAAAGGGTTGGGATCCTTCGCTAAAGTGTTGAGATCCTTCGCTAAAGTGTTGGGAACCTTCGCCGAAGTATTGGGCCCTTCGCCAACGCTTTGGGACCCATCGCCGAAGTGATGGATCCTTTGCTAAAGTGTTGGGACCCTTCGCTAAAGTGTTGTTACCCTTCGCTAGAGTATTGAGACCCTTCTCTAAAATGTTGGGACCATTCGCTTAAGTGTTGGTACCCTTCGCCAAAGTCTTGGCACATTTCGCTAAAGTGTTGGGACCCTTCGCCAAAGTCTTGGGACCTTTCGCTAAAGTGTTACGACCCTTCGCTGAAGTGTTGGGACCCTTCGCTAGAATAGTGCGACCCTTCGCTAAAGCATTGGCACACTTGCCCAAAGTCTTGGAACCCTTCTCTAAAGTGTTGGGACCCTTCGCCAAAGTGTTGGGACCCTTCGCCTACCTCTTGGAACTTTTCGCTAAAGTGTTACGACCATTCGCTAAAGTGTTGGGACCCTTCGCCAAAGTCCTGGGATCCTTCGCAAAAGTGTTGGGACCCTTCGCCGAAGTAGTGAGACCCTTCGCTAGAGTGTTGGAACCCTTTCCTTAAGTGTTGTGCCCTTCGCCAAAGTTTTGGGACTCTTCGCTAAAGTGTTGGGACCCTTCGCTAGAGTGGTGGAACCCTTCGCCAAAGTCTTGAGACCCTTCGCCCAAGTTGGGACCCTCAGCTAGAAAGTTGGGACCCTTCGCCAAAGTATTGGAACCCTTAATTCAGGTGTTCGGACCCTTGGCGAAAGTGTTGGGACCCTTCGCCAAAGTGTTGGGACCCTTCGCCTACCTCTTGGAACTTTTCGCTAAAGTGTTACGACCATTCGCTAAAGTGTTGGAACCCTTCGCCAAAGTCCTGGGATCCTTCGCAAAAGTGTTGGGACCCTTCGCCGAAGTAGTGAGACCCTTCGCTAGAGTGTTGGAACCCTTTCCTTAGTTGTTGTGACCCTTCGCTTAAGTGTTGGGACCCTTCGCTAATGTGTTGGGACCCTTAGCTAGAGTGGTGGAACCCTTCGCCAAAGTCTTGAGACCCTTCGCCTAAGTTGGATTCTTAGCTAGAAAATTGGGACCCTTCGCCAAAGTATTGGAACCCTTAATTCAGGTGTTCGGACCCTTGGCGAAAGTGTTGGGACCTTTCGCTAAAGTGATGGGATCCTTCGCTAAAGTGTTGGGACCCTTCGCCAAAGTATTGGGCCCTTCGCCACTGTGTTGGGACCCTTCGGCGAAGTGATGGGACGCTTCGCTAAAGTGTTGTGACCCTTAGCTAGAAAAGTGGGACCCTTCGCCAAAGTATTGGAACCCTTAGTTCAGGTGTTCGGACCCTTTCCGAAAGTGTTGGGACCCTTCGCTAAAGTGTTGGGATCCTTCGCTAAAGTGTTGGGACTCTTCGCCAAAGTATTGGGCCCTTCGCCATTGTGTTGGGACCCTTCGCCGAAGTGATGGGACGCTTCGCTAAAGTGTTGGGACCCTTCGCTAAAGTTTTGGGGACCTTCGCCGAAGTATTGGGCCCTTCGCCAACGCTTTGGGACCCATCGCCGAAGTGATGGATCCTTTGCTAAAGTGTTGGGACCCTTCGCTAAAGTGTTGTTACCCTTCGCTAGAGTATTGAGAACCTTCTCTAAAATGTTGGGACCATTCGCTTAAGTGTTGGTACCCTTCGCCAAAGTCTTGGCACATTTCGCTAAAGTGTTGGGACCCTTCGCCAAAGTCTTGGGATCTTTCGCTAAAGTGTTACGACCCTTCGCTGAAGTGTTGGGACCCTTCGCTAGAATAGTGCGACCCTTCGCTAAAGCATTGGCACACTTCGCCAAAGTCTTGGGACCCTTCTCTAAAGTGTTGGGACCCTTCGCCAAAGTGTTGGGACCCTTCGCCTACCTCTTGGGACCTTTCGCTAAAGTGTTACGACCATTCGCTAAAGTGTTGGGACCCTTCGCCAAAGTCCTGGGATCCTTCGCAAAAGTGTTGGGACCCTTCGCCGAAGTAGTGAGACCCTTCGCTAGAGTGTTGGAACCCTTTCCTTAAGTGTTGTGCCCTTCACCAAAGTTTTTGGACACTTCGCTAAAGTGTTGGGACCCTTCGCTAGAGTGTTGTGACCCTTCGCTTAAGTGTTGGGACCCTTCGCTAATGTGTTGGGACCCTTAGCTAGAGTGGTGGAACCCTTCGCCAAAGTATTGGAACCCTTAGTTCAGGTGTTCGGTCGGACCCTTGGCGAAAGCGTTGGGACCCTTCGCTAAAGTGATGGGATCCTTCGCTAAAGTGTTGGGACCCTTCGCCAAAGTATTGGAACCCTTAGTTCAGGTGTTCGGTCGGACCCTTGGCGAAAGCGTTGGGACCCTTCGCTAAAGTGATGGGATCCTTCGCTAATGTGTTGGGACCCTTCGCCAAAGTATTGGGCCCTTCGCCACTGTGTTGGGACCCTTCGCCGAAGTGATGGGACGCTTCGCTAAAGTGTTGTGACCCTTAGCTAGAAAAATGGGACCCTTCGCCAAAGTATTGGAACCCTTAGTTCAGGTGTTCGGGCCCTTTCCGAAAGTGTTGGGACCCTTCGCTAAAGTGTTGGGATCCTTCGCTAAAGTGTTGGGATCCTTCGCTAAAGTGTTGGGACCCTTCGCCAAAGTATTGGGCCCTTCGCCAACGTGTTGGGACCCTTCGCCGAAGTGATGGGTCCCTTCGCTAAAGTTTTGGGACCCTTCGCCAAAGTCTTGGGATCCTTCGCCAAAGTGTTGTGACCCTTCGCCGAAGTGTTGGGACCCTTCGCTAAAGTGTTGGGACTCTTCGCCAAAATCATGGGACCCTTCGCCAAAGTCTGGGAACCCTTCGCCAAAGTCTTGGGAACCTTCGCTAAAGTGTTGGGACCCTTAGCTAGAGTGGTGGAACCCTTCGCCAAAGTCTTGGGACCCTTCGCCAACTTGTTGTGACCCTTCGCCGAAGTGATGGGACCCTTTGCTAAAGTGTTGGGTCCTTTGCCGAAGTGTTGTGACCCTTCGCCGAAGTGTTGGGACCCTTTTCCAAAGTGTTGGGACCCTTCGCTAAAGTGTTGGGAACTTCGCCAAAATCTTGGGACCCTTCGTAAAGTCTGCGGAACCTTCGCCAAAGTCTTGGAACCCTTCGGCAAAGTGTTGTGACCCTTCGCTAGAGTATTGAGAACCTTTGGCTAGAATATTGGGACCCTTCGCTTAAGTGTTGGCACACTTCGCCAAAGTCTTGGGAACCTTCTCTAAAGTATTGGGTCCCTTCGCTTAAGTGTTGGTACCCTTCGCCAAAGTCTTGGGACCTTTCGCTAAAGTGTTGGGACCCTTCGCCAAAGTCTTGGGACCTTTCGCTAAAGTGTTACGACCCTTCGCTAAAGTGTTGGGACCCTTCGCCAAAGTCCTGGGATCCTTTGCAAAAGTGTTGGGACCCTTCGCCAAAGTCTTGGGACCCTTCGCTAGAGTATTGAGACCCTTCGCTAGAATATTGGGACTCTTCGCTAAAGTGTTGGCACACTTCGCCAAAGTCTTGGGACCCTTCGCTAAAGTGTTGGGACCCTTCGCTAATGTGTTGGGACCCTTAGCTAGAGTGGTGAAACCCTTCGCCAAAGTATTGGGTCCCTTCGCTTAAGTGTTGGTACCCTTCGCCAAAGTCTTGGGACCTTTCGCTAAAGTGTTGGGACCTTTCGCTAAAGTGTTACGACCCTTCGCTAAAGTGTTGGGACCTTCGCCAAAGTCCTGGGATCCTTTGCAAAAGTGTTGGGACTCTTCGCCAAAGTCTTGGGACCTTTCGCTAAAGTGTTACGACCCTTCGCTAAAGTGTTGGGACCCTTCGCCAAAGTCCTGGGATCCTTTGCAAAAGTGTTGGGACCCTTCGCCAAAGTCTTGGGACCCTTCGCTAGAGTATTGAGACCCTTCGCTAGAATATTGGGACTCTTCGCTAAAGTGTTGGCACACTTCGCCAAAGTCTTGGGACCCTTCGCTAAAGTGTTCGGACCCTTCGCTAATGTGTTGGGACCCTTAGCTAGAGTGGTGGAACCCTTCGCCAAAGTCTTGGAACCCTTCGCTAAAGTGTTGGGACCCTTCGCTAATGTGTTGGGACCTTTAGCTAGAGTGGTGGAACCCTTCGCCAAAGTGTTGTGACCCTTCGCCGAAGTGTTGTGACCCTTCGCCGAAGTGTTGGGACCCTTTTCCAAAGTGTGGGGACCCTTCGCTAAAGAGTTGGGACCTTCGCCAAAATCTTGGGACCCTTCGTAAAATCTGCGGACCCTTCGCCAGAGTCTTCGGAACCTTCTCTAAAGTGTTGGGACCCTTCGCCAACGTGTTGGGACCCTTCGCCGAAGTGATGGGACCCTTCGCTAAAGTGTTGGGACCATTCGCCAAAGTCTTGGGACCCTTCGCTAGAGTAGTGAGAGCCTTCGCTAGAATATTGGAACCCTTCGCCAAAGTGTTGTGACCCTTCGCTAGAGTATTGAGAACCTTGGCTAGAATATTGGGACCCTTCTCTAAAGTTTTGGCACAATTCGCCAAAGTCTTGGGACCCTTCTCTAAAGTGTTGGGACCCTTCGCTTAAGTGTTGGTACCCTTCGCCAAAGTCTTGGGACCTTTCGCTAAAGTGTTGGGACCCTTCGCCAAAGTCTTGGGACTTCTCGCTAAAGTTTTAAGACCCTTCGCTAAAGTGTTGGGACCCTTCGCCAAAGTCCTGGGATCCTTAGCAAAAGTGTTGGGACCCTTCGCCGAAGTGATGAGACTCTTCGCTAGAGTGTTGGAAGCCTTCCCTAAAGTGTTGGGGCCCTTCACCAAAGTTTTGGGACACTTCGCTAAAGTGTTGGGACCCTTCGCCAAAGTCTTGGGACACTTCGCTAAAGTGTTGTTTCCTTCGCTAATGTGTTGGGACCCTTAGCTAGAGTATTGAGAACCTTGGCTAGAATATTGGGACCCTTCACCAAAGTTTTGGGACACTTCGCTAAAGTGTTGGGACCCTTCGCCAAAGTCTTGGGACACTTCGCCGAAGTATTGGGCCCTTCGCCAACGCTTTGGGACCCATCGCCGAAGTGATGGATCCTTTGCTAAAGTGTTGGGTCCCTTCGCTAAAGTGTTGTTACCCTTCGCTAGAGTATTGAGACCCTTCTCTAAAATGTTGGGACCATTCGCTTAAGTGTTGGTACCCTTCGCCAAAGTCTTGGCACATTTCGCTAAAGTGTTGGGACCCTTCGCCAAAGTCTTGGGACCTTTCGCTAAAGTGTTACGACCCTTCGCTGAAGTGTTGGGACCCTTCGCTAGAATAGTGCGACCCTTCGCTAAAGCATTGGCACACTTCGCCAAAGTCTTGGGACCCTTCTCTAAAGTGTTGGGACCCTTCGCCAAAGTGTTGGGACCCTTCGCCTACCTCTTGGAACTTTTCGCTAAAGTGTTACGACCATTCGCTAAAGTGTTGGGACCCTTCGCCAAAGTCCTGGGATCCTTCGCAAAAGTGTTGGGACCCTTCGCCGAAGTAGTGAGACCCTTTGCTAGAGTGTTGGAACCCTTTCCTTAAGTGTTGTGCCCTTCACCAAAGTTTTGGGACACTTCGCTAAAGTGTTGGGACCCTTCGCTAGAGTGTTGTGACCCTTCGCTTAAGTGTTGGGACCCTTCGCTAATGTGTTGGGACCCTTAGCTAGAGTGTTGGAACCCTTCGCCAAAGTCTTGAGACCCTTCGCCCAAGTTGGGACCCTTAGCTAGAAAGTTGGGACCCTTCGCCAAAGTATTGGAACCCTTAATTCAGGTGTTCGGACCCTTGGCGAAAGTGTTGAGACCCTTCGCTAAAGTGATGGGATCCTTCGCTAAAGTGTTGGGACCCTTCGCCAAAGTATTGGGCCCTTCGCCACTGTGTTGGGACCCTTCGCCGAAGTGATGGGACGCTTCGCTAAAGTGTTGTGACCCTTAGCTAGAAAAATGGGACCCTTCGCCAAAGTATTGGAACCCTTAGTTCAGGTGTTCGTACCCTTTCCGAAAGTGTTGGGACCCTTCGCTAAAGTGTCGGGATCCTTCGCTAAAGTGTTGGGACTCTTCGCCAAAGTATTGGTCCCTTCACCATTGTGTTGGGACCCTTCGCCGAAGTGATGGGACGCTTCGCTAAAGTGTTGGGACCCTTCGCTAAAGTTTTGGGAACCTTCGCCGAAGTATTGGGCCCTTCGCCAACGCTTTGGGAGCCATCGCCGAAGTGATGGATCCTTTGCTAAAGTGTTGGGACCCTTCGCTAAAGTGTTGTTACCCTTCGCTAGAGTATTGAGACCCTTCTCTAAAATGTTGGGACCATTCGCTTAAGTGTTGGTACCCTTCGCCAAAGTCTTGGCACATTTCGCTAAAGTGTTGGGACCCTTCGCCAAAGTCTTGGGATCTTTCGCTAAAGTGTTACGACCCTTCGCTGAAGTGTTGGGACCCTTCGCTAGAATAGTGCGACCCTTCGCTAAAGCATTGGCACACTTCGCCAAAGTCTTGGGGCCTTCTCTAAAGTGTTGGGACCCTTCGCCAAAGTGTTGGGACCCTTCGCATACCTCTTGGGACCTTTCGCTAAAGTGTTACGACCATTCGCTAAAGTGTTGGGACCCTTCGCCAAAGTCCTGGGATCCTCCGCAAAAGTGTTGGGACCCTTCGCCGAAGTAGTGAGACCCTTCGCTAGAGTGTTGGAACCCTTTCCTTAAGTGTTGTGCCCTTCACCAAAGTTTTGGGACACTTCGCTAAAGTGTTGGGACCCTTCGCTAGAGTGTTGTGACCCTTCGCTTAAGTGTTGGGACCCTTCGCTAATGTGTTGGGACCCTTAGCTAGAGTGGTGGAACCCTTCGCCAAAGTCTTGAGACCCTTCGCCCAAGTTGGGACCCTTAGCTAGAAAGTTGGGACCCTTCGCCAAAGTATTGGAACCCTTAGTTCAGGTGTTCGGTCGGACCCTTGGCGAAAGCGTTGGGACCCTTCGCTAAAGTGATGGGATCCTTCGCTAAAGTGTTAAGACCCTTCGCCAAAGTATTGGGCCCTTCGCCACTGTGTTGGGACCCTTCGCCGAAGTGATGGGACGCTTCGCTAAAGTGTTGTGACCCTTAGCTAGAAAAATGGGACCCTTCGCCAAAGTATTGGAACCCTTAGTTCAGGTGTTCGGACCCTTTCCGAAAGTGTTGGGATCCTTCGCTAAAGTGTTGGGATCCTTCGCTAAAGTGTTGGGACCCTTCGCCAAAGTATTGGGCCCTTCGCCAACGTGTTGGGACCCTTCGCCGAAGTGATGGGTCCCTTCGCTAAAGTTTTGGGACCCTTCGCCAAAGTCTTGGGATCCTTCGCCAAAGTGTTGTGACCCTTCGCCGAAGTGTTGGGACCCTTTTCCAAAGTATTGGGACCATTCGCTAAAGTGTTGGGTTCTTCGCCAAAGTCTTGGGACCCTTCGCCAAAGTGTTGGGACCCTTCGCTAAAGTGTTGGGACTCTTCGCCAAAATCATGGGACCCTTCGCCAAAGTCTGGGGACCCTTCGCCAAAGTCTTGGTAACCTTCGCTAAAGTGTTGGGACCCTTAGCTAGAGTGGTGGAACCCTTCGCCAAAGTCTTGGAACCTTCGCCAACGTGTTGTGATCCTTCGCCGAAGTGATGGGACCCTTCGCTAAAGTGTTGGGTCCTTTGCCGAAGTGTTGTGACCCTTCGCCGAAGTGTTGGGACCTTTTTCCAAAGTGTTGGGACCCTTCGCTAAAGTGTTGGGAACTTCGCCAAAATCTTGGGACCCTTCGTAAAGTCTGCGGACCCTTCGCCAAAGTCTTGGAACCCTTCGCCAAAGTGTTGTGACCCTTCGCTAGAGTATTGAGAACCTTTGGCTAGAATATTGGGACCCTTCGCTTAAGTGTTGGCACACTTCGCCAAAGTCTTGGGAACCTTCTCTAAAGTATTGGGTCCCTTCGCTTAAGTGTTGGTACCCTTCGCCAAAGTCTTGGGACCTTTCGCTAAAGTGTTGGGACCCTTCGCCAAAGTCTTGGGACCTTTCGCTAAAGTGTTACGACCCTTCGCTAAAGTGTTGGGACCCTTCGCCAAAGTCCTGGGATCCTTTGCAAAAGTGTTGGGACCCTTCGCCAAAGTCTTGGGACCCTTCGCTAGAGTATTGAGACCCTTCGCTAGAATATTGGGACTCTTCGCTAAAGTGTTGGCACACTTCGCCAAAGTCTTGGGACCCTTCGCTAAAGTGTTGGGACCCTTCGCTAATGTGTTGGGACCCTTAGCTAGAGTGGTGGAACCCTTCGCCAAAGTCTTGGAACCCTTCGCCAAAGGGTTGGGACCCTTCGCCGAAGTGTTGTGACCCTTAGCTAGAATATTGGGTCCCTTCGCTAAAGTGTTGGCACACTTCGCCAAAGTCTTGGGACCCTTCGCTTATGTGTTGGGACCCTTCGCTAATGTGTTGGGACCTTTAGCTAGAGTGGTGGAACCCTTCGCCAAAGTGTTGTGACCCTTCGCCGAAGTGTTGTGACCCTTCGCTAGAGTAGTGAGAGCCTTCGCTAGAATATTGGAACCCTTCGCCAAAGTGTTGTGACCCTTCGCTAGAGTATTGAGAACCTTGGCTAGAATATTGGGACCCTTCTCTAAAGTTTTGGCACACTTCGCCAAAGTCTTGGGACCCTTCTCTAAAGTGTTGGGACCCTTCGCTTAAGTGTTGGTACCCTTCGCCAAAGTCTTGGGACCTTTCGCTAAAGTGTTGGGACCCTGCGCCAAAGTCTTGGGACTTCTCGCTAAAGTTTTAAGACCCTTGGCTAAAGTGTTGGGACCCTTCGCCAAAGTCCTGGGATCCTTCGCAAAAGTGTTGGGACCCTTCGCCGAAGTGATGAGACTCTTCGCTAGAGTGTTGGAAGCCTTCCCTAAAGTGTTGGGGCCCTTCACCAAAGTTTTGGGACACTTCGCTAAAGTGTTGGGACCCTTCGCCAAAGTCTTGGGACACTTCGCTAAAGTGTTGGGTCCTTCGCTAATGTGTTGGGACCATTCGCCAAAGTCTTGGGACCCTTCGCTAGAGTAGTGAGAGCCTTCGCTAGAATATTGGAACCCTTCGCCAAAGTGTTGTGACCCTTCGCTAGAGTATTGAGAACCTTGGCTAGAATATTGGGTCCCTTCGCTAAAGTGTTGGCACACTTCGCCAAAGTCTTGGGA